CCCTAAACCCTAAACTCTAAAGGCTGATATTCCGGGCCTAAGCCGTCCACAAACCCTACTGTAGGGCCTAACATAATGACCAATACTATATGTTGGCAGGGTTCCTTCTAATTTGTTAAGGCCCCTGAAGCTTCAACCCTTACAGTATCCCTCATAGAACCCTTTCAGGAAACCTTTAAAGGAACCCCAAAACCCTAGTCCAATTATTAAGGCCCCTATATTGTACCCAGGTGAGTTCGGTGCCGACGTGGTTGTGGGCTCCATGCAGCGTTTTGGTCACTTGGCAGCCCTGGGGAACCTCGCAAGCGCTCGATAGGATCACCAGAAGGGCTACTCTACGCCCTATAAAAGGTTCCTTAAAGCATGCAATAAGGGCTACGATAAGGGTTAAGGGTTTAGGGACCTTAATAATTAGAATAGGGTTTTGGGAGTTCCTTATTATAATTATAGTAGAAAATACCCCAAACCTTATTCTACCTGTTAAGGCCCCTATATTACGGTCTGCTACGAGGGCTTGTTAGGATTTTTGTCAGGCGTCTAGGGCTTGGGGCTTGGAGGTCAAAAGGGAGGTTTGGCGGCCAAGCTAACTTCGGGACGTTTAGGGTCAGGGCTTCATGACTTTCCTCAAGCCTTGAATCGCTTTCTGCCTCTGAAGTCCCTAAACCCTAAACCCTAGACAGGGTTTAGGGTTTAGGGTTTAGGGTTTAGGGTTTAGGGTTAGGGGTTTAGGGTTTAGGGTTTAAACCGTATCGCTTTTGTGGCTGTCTCCCTGAAGGGCTGGCGAGGCACGAGCAGTTGATGCATCAGGGAAGCCTGTGAACCCCAAACCCATGACGTTCACACCCGAAACCCAAGCCCTATAAGCCCTAAACCCTAAATCTTTTCTAGGGTTGAACCCATGGGGCCCCTAGTATGGGCCCTCAACCCTGGAATGCTTATACACCTACTATAGACTATATACCCTATATGTACCCTCCAGGATCCCTAGGAAAGGCCTAAGGGTCGATATTAGGGGCCCATACTTCTGACCTTAGAATTAAGCTCTCCAGGCGTGCCCATGTGGTTCGGTGGACCTTCTGCCGCGTACCTGGCCACGTCGAAGAAGCAGGCGATCAGTTTGATCTAGCGACTGAAGGGTGCGACGAGTTTTACGTACAGGCGGTTTATACGTTTTTGTTGACAACTCTTTTGGTTTTGGCACAGGGTCGCTGCAAGGTTTTACCAATTCTCCCTCAAAGAAGGGCTTTATACATGCCCTAAACCCTAAACCCTAAACCCTAAACCTTATAGCGCCCTTTCAGGGCTCCCGCAGGCCAAGCGGAAGCTGCATGTCGGTCGCAAACTTTGGAGTGGGATTGTAGTTCCAACATTGAACCGTTCAATCGGTTTAGGGTTTAGGGTTTAGGGTTTAA